AGGGTTAGGGGTATGAGTACACGTACGAGGTGACCCCACATATTATATTATATACTTGTGTTCATAAATGTTTATGTGTCTATATATGTATAGGGTTATTTTGGACATTTTAATGTTAAACGGTGTTTTAAAGCCTTTGAAGTAAACGCAATCTTACAACATTGCTTATTTTATGCGCCGTTTACTAACGCGGGTCTTAATAAGCACCGTTTAGTAACCCGTGAAGTAAACGTGTCCTAAAAGTAAAAAACGAAAAAAGTGAAAAGAGGCATGGGTGGGCCGTGGGGGAGTATGTGCCAGTGTGCTACGTAACTGGAGAGAGCACGCAGTGGCGGATCTATGTTCCAAACTATGGGTGTTCATGGGGGAGTATGTGCCAGTGTGCAACGTAACTGGAGAGAGCACGCAGTGGCGGATCTATGTTCCAAACTAAAATTTATTTTCTATAATTAAAATTTGAAAAGTCAATAAATAATTAAATTGAATTTATACATGTATACTAGCTTATTTTTTTTCAAATCTAGGTGTTCATATGAACACCTTTGCACCTATATAGCTCTGCCACTGAGAGCACGTAGCCATCCATATGGAGCATTAGTATTGGGGATCGTATTGAGCAAGTAGCGGTGTATTTTTGTTTCTTATGAAAAAACGGTATCGTATTGGGGATCGGTATACCATGCGCATGGTATATTGATCCCACGATATAATTTGCTGGTTAGGCGTGATTAATTTGTAACTGAAATTAATGTTAGATGATTAAAATGAATCAAATTAAACTTAATTAAGTGATCAAATTGAAACTCACAAAACGTGAAGTGATCATTCAAATTAATTGCGGAAGTGCTTGGGTCTATTTTCTAAAATTGTTTCTAAATGATTTAAATTGCCCGAAAATGGTTTTTCAGTACTGTTGGGGAGGAACATTGATTATGCATGCAGTATGTTCAAAAAACAAGCAGAAAGAGAATGAATACTCCTGCATACGTTCTAGCAATCTAGCCGGGTAGATGGCCGGCGCTCTAACTTCTGTTAGGTGTATTTATGGGTAGCTCTACTATATCATGAATGGGCTGACGTATGTAATGCGGTGGCACGAATTATTATCGATCCTTAAATTGATTGCATGCATATGGTAGTGCCACGTACGCACGCACATATATATACTACTCCCTCCGTCCCAATTTGATGATCTCATTTCTTTTGACCTCAAAGATTAAGGAAGTGGTTGAAAAGGTAAAAGTTGTGGTTGAGATTTGAGTAGAAAAATGTGAAATGATGTGGACCACATACTCATTCCGTCCCAATATAAAAGACACACTTTCCTTTTCGGTCCGTCCCAATATAAAAGGCACATTTCCCTTTTTGGCAAACAAAACAGTGCCAAACAGTGCCAAACAGTGCCAAACAGTGTCCAAACAGTGCCAAACAGTGTCCAAACAGTGTCAAACAGTGTCTAAACAGTGCCAAACAGTGTTTGCCCTTAAAATGTCTAGAAACGCAAATGTGCCTTTTATATTGGGACGGAGAGAGTATTTCTTTCCAAAAAGGGAAATGAGACTATCAATTTGGGACGGCCCAGAAAGGAAATACGGGATCATCAAATTGGGACGGAGAGAGTAGTATAAAATACTCTAATACTCCCTTTGTATCTAATATCCTTCCGTCCCTTATAATTTTGTCAATTTTTCTTTTTTTGTATGTCACATTAACTTTGTCAATTTCCTTTTTAAGTAAAGGATTTGTGATTTCAGTTAATTTTATCTCTTCTGCACAAACTTCAACCACGCAACTTTTACTTTATTAATCTTCGTGCCGGTCAAACTTGGCAAAGTTATTAGGGACGGAGGGAGTAGTTGATTTGTCTCACTTTCCTTTTTGGGTGTACTAAATTAATTGTCTCAATTTTTTTGTAAAAAAAACCAACTCAAAAAACAGCTACAATACCGTTAGAGTACCGCTACAGTATAAAAAACCTCTTAATTTTTATAAAGTTTACGGTAATTGACTTAAACTCCGTGAAAAGCAAACATGGCAACTAATTAGATACGGAGGGAGTATAACTCTATATTAGGTGTGTCTAGGTGCAATTTATTGAAACTTTATGAGCATATTCTTCGTATAAAAAATTATGAAGTGTAAATTAATTATGTTAATGAAACTTTAGCTAAAAATGTAGAAACAGGCAGGAAAATAGGGGCGGAGCCAGGGGTCATGGTGGTCAGCCGATCCCGTTGAAAGTTCGAGAATGTATGTAGAACTTTGAATTACCTTCGATTTGATATAGCTTATGGAAAAATCAGCATCATCCTGAATTGAAATGAGCAAAATTTGATGTGCGATATTGCTTATTTTCTTATTTTCTTACCCCAATATCGTTTGAGACTAAGGCTTGGATGTTGTTGTTGTTGTTGTTATTGCTTATTTTCTTAAATTTAAAAACAAAACACCTTATTCACTCAATAATTGTGTGAAGTGTTCAATACATGACATATATATCTACAAAATAAAGGAATATATCTACATATGAAACATTTAACTCAAATATTGTTTAATAACGATTCTTCATTTTGATATCGTATATAATTAAATTTGATCCCCTCACACGTTTTTCTAGCTCCGTCGTCACTGTACATATATACTCCATCTGTCCCTTATAACTTTGTCGATTTTCCTTTTTTGGATGTCCCATTAACTTTGTCACTTTCCCTTTTAAGTAAAAAGTGTGTGGTTCGAGTTAATTCTCCCTCATCTGTACAGACCTCAATCACACAGTTGTTGGTTTATTAATTCCGTGTCGGTCAAACTTGGCAAAGCTATTAGGGACCGAGGAGTATATATATATATATATATATATATATATATATATATATATATATATATATATATATATATATATATATATATATATATATATATATATATATATATATATATATATATATATATATACTTGGTCTACATGTGTAATGGTATGTGTGCGTGGAAAAAGTAAGAACTAGCTAGCTAGATGGAGATGAAATTGGTGGGTGTGGTGTTTTTGTTGGTGGTTGCGATGTTGGGTAGCAAGAGCGATGCCATTCGTGACACCGCCCATCCTCTGAAAGGCATACTGATGGTCACAAGTGGTGAAGAAGGGGTGCGGGGCGATTGGTGCCAGTGGGAGGGCGAGGAGTGCGACTGGAGCAAGACGTGCTGCGAAGGGTATTGCACGGCGTGGACCAGCGGTTACTGCACCTGCGTCGGAGCCGGCGGGACCTGTGGCATACAACACGGCTGCTGCCCTAACTACCAGTGCGACGGCTACATCTCCGGCACATGCATCTCACGCTAAGCTAATAATTAATATAGATAAGCTCGCTAGCTAGCTCTAAAATAAAACGAACAACAATAATAAGCCTTGGGATCGATCATCTTTTGTAATGTTTTGCGCTGCCATTGTAAACTATGACGTCGTCCTACCATATTTTGTCAATTTTATGAGTTGGCAAATTCTATGCTACTCTAAAAGTCTCATATTTTATCTACATGAACCAATTATTAGATGAATACTGTAATTAAGAGGAGCGGATCTAGAAAAATGTAGTTATTGATCGAGGCACCATTTATGCTTATTAAGTAAAATTACTTTGTAAAACCGTCACAGCGCTAGTTGTGTTGTAGGGTTCGTAATGCGGTGAGATTGATATGCCGATGGGGTGAGATTGCTTTCCTGATGGGAAGCAACGTCGTTACAGGAAGTGGAATGTATGATTGGATTAGGTCTTGTTTGGATGGATGGGGAATGCTCGAGTAAGGCAATTTCTTTAATGACTGGAAATTTTGCTCGCTATTATGTTGTTAGAAGGATCTATATGGTCAGTGATTGTTGTGTCACACCCGTTTGGTGGTTAGCGATTCGTATTGCTCTTTCAGGAGTGATCGTTTCTATGTCTAGCCGCAGAGTTGACAGTGCTAGTTGGTTACTAATAATTGTTGTCGGTGTTGGTCTCTTTGAATTTGTTGTAACGATCCGAATCCTATTAATGATATTAATATAAGCAGTTTTTCCTTTAAAAAAAGTAAGGTTACTTTATACTTCGCTTAGTATACTTCCTTTAAAAATTAATCTTATGAATTGGAAAGTTGTTACCAATTGAATCTACATAAAGTTTATCTCTAAATAATAATTAAAAATCGATATATTAATTCAAATTCATGATACGCTAAAAATTTCAAAAATTAAGGAAAAATTACTCAGACTTGAATAGTTAATCTATTTAATTATATTAATCATTGAATATATGTATTAAAATGTTAAATATAAAGAAGACATTGATAATCTGTCGTTCATCTCATTCTAATATATATTAATATATTATAAGATCAAAGCATATATTTATGATTTATTGTATACACACATATGTATGTTGAAGTATATTTGTAGAATAATTTAAGAAAAAATATGTATACTTATATATTGAGCGGATCGGGGCGGCACAGGTCAATTCTAATACCCGGACCCGCCCCGTTGTATAGGCGGGGTGGGGCGGACCCGCCCCATTTGCAAGACGGGGCGGGGCGGACCCGCCCTAAATGTCTCGGGCCAGGGCGGGTCATTGCAGGTCGGTTTTTTTGACATCCCTAAATCCGATTGCCAATAAGTTAATTAACTCAACAAGCTTGTTTAGAGTCTATTGTATGTGGGTGTGATACTATCCTTGATCGTATTGTCAATTTTCTGAAAAGCAACTATCATTAATAAAGTTATTTGATTCCAAAAAAAATGATACGTAGTATAACGTTTTTAGCCTTAAAAATTGTTTTAGATAGAACTATAGAAGTAAAGATAAAGTTACTTTTGTAAGCGATAGTACGGAGTATTATATTTCTTCACTAGTTCAGTTAACATTCTCGTTCAAAACGCCTTAAAGGTATGATGGATCACCTTTAAGGGTAGAAAAATATAATTGAAGGTTAAGTGTCAAACAAAATATGAAACCTTAAAACCATATCTTAAGTGAGGATTAGACTTGAATGTCATATAATCTCTTGCTGGTAAGAAGCATCACAAGAAGAAGAAAAAATCATGAACAATATGAGATTGCCTCATTCACTTGTTGTATGCTTCGATGCTTCTGTCGTCAATAGTTTATCAAATCGAAGTTTTTACACTGCACTTTACCCCGAGGATTTGAAATTAGAATCTTATGGGAAAAAATGATTGAAAAAACCATCAATCCAAGGTCTCTGATGCACCAAGCTATATGTTAAAGGATAGAGCAACCAGGGGCAGTACTATGTGCAGAGAGTTGGTGAAGAATCTAAACCCAACTCAGCTGGTTCAACCCAAAGATAGCTAAGAGCAGTGACCACATCACTCATCATTGGCCTTAAGGCTGGATCTTCATTCAGGCACATTACTGCCACTGCAACTGCTTGGGATAACCCTTTCTTTGGAAAGTTCCCTTTCAGATTGGAATCAGCCAATTCCGAATGCCTACTTGGATCTTGGGTGATCGGCTCGGCCCATTTGACTAGCATTTGATCATTGCCACATTTGGTTGTAAAGATGGCTCTCTTTCCTGTGATGAGCTCAAGCAACACAACTCCAAAAGTATAAATATCGGATTTGACAGTTAACTGACCTGTCCTTTGGTATTCAGGGGCACAATAACCATACGTCCCCATTACTCTTGTAGATACATGACTCTTTCCCCCCATAGGCCCAAGCTTGGCTAGCCCAAAATCAGAGAGCTTGGCATTGTATTTCTCATCTATTAGAATGTTTGAAGACTTCAAGTCACGGTAGATGACAGGCGGGTTGGCTTTTTCGTGTAAATACTCCAATCCTTTGGCAGCATGTAATGCGATTTTCATTCTGATCGACCACTCCAATGGAGCTTGGTTTGGTGGAATATCTGACGAAACATGAGCATAAATCTGACTCATTATTAAATGTGAATGAAATGACAAACATCATCTAAGTTCCAAAAATTTAAGAAACCACCTGTAACTCCTTTATCGAGTCATATTGGTTAACTTGAGTACTTGACAACAACAACACTCATTTTTATAGTAAGGTCCAGCCTTGGAAACATCATATTTTAAGATACCAATGATTTATCTAGTAACAAAAAGCATTGGGGCAAACCATGTTCACAATAATTAGGAAGTGATCATTTGGACTGAAATTCACTAATTAGTCTTGCGATATTATCATTGCCTGTCTTGAAAATTGCACTCTCTTGCTCTAAAATGTGAATTATATAGGCATACCAAGAAGATGGTCTTCAAGAGAACCCAAAGCCATGAATTCATAAACGAGAAGCCTCTGATCTCCATCAGCACAGTAGCCAATTAGGTTGACAAGATGTTGATGGTGCAGAAGGCTTAGCATCAACACTTCCACCAGGAATTCTCTGTTTCCTTGCAACCCATTGCGGTCTAGTTGCTTCACTGCTACAATCTGTACCAACCAACAATGCACAGATCCTCAATATATCAATGACTCAAGGGTAAAAGGGTGCATACTCCACATTCCAATCAAATTTAGCCAAATTAAGTGAGTATCATGACTTATTTAAACTAATACTTGAAACAACACTAATTCCAAATGTCAATATCTAGATATCTTCACCAACCTCTAAATTAGAGGTAGGCATTTTGGTTAGGATGCCTGAACCAAAAGTGAGCCATATTCAATTTGATTTGGATTTGGTAACATTTCATCCACATCGTATAAAAACAAGCTAAATTCGTAAACAATATATAAAACCAAACTGAAGAAAAACAATACTCTATCTAAAGTAAATAAAACATTAGTACCAACATCCTCACGTTATTCCCAAAAGAGCTTAGGTCAATTTATTTTCTTACTTTCAACGGAATCAAAACAAACTAAATATTGAAATACAAATGCCCATATATGTATACTGCCCAAATGATACCTGGCCCGTATTCTCCAAATAACCCTTGTAAACGCGGCCGAAGCCACCTTCACCGAGCAGACATTCTTGCCGGAAATTCTTTGTGGCCGCCGCAAGTTCCCTAAATGTGAATATCTGTGCCGCAATGTTCCTATTGCCTCCATCTTTGTTCTCAGTTTCTTTCGGATTGACAGTTTTCCTTTGGATCTTCTTCACCTTGTCTGATGAATTCAATCACACCCAAGGAAAAACATCATATAATACTTAGATTTTTTTTCAAGGAGATAATTTACAGGAAATTCGCAGCGCGTTCAAATACCACGACAAAACGAATGTGTCGGCAGCCAACGCCGCAGAGAGGGGTCAATGAGGCGGTGGTGGACGGACACCGGAGCATTCTTCCGTCTGCTTCCGCTTCTAATCTTCTTTGAGGCCTTCTTTTCATGAGGCAAAAAACAATAGAAAAGACTCATTTTGGTTCTCTCTGCACCTAGAAATGGGCATATGCATGATCAATTAACTGCGTGAATACAAAGGCTATAATTTCCAGTATTTTTCTATGTGCTATTTACGCGAACGTGGAGAAGGAATTGCAGGGGAGGAGAAGAAACAGAGGAGAGGCGGTATGTTTTCCTCCTCCGCGCTTCCCGCATAAATTGGGGATGCGATTTGATGAAGAATAATAATAATAATTACTAAAATAAAACACTACATTGTAGTAATGAATAGTTATATTTATGTAAATATGATTTACATGTTCAAGTTTTGAGCTTTAGTTATCACAACACTACATTGTAGTAATGAATAGTTATATTTATGTAAATATGTTTTATTTTAGTAATATTCTTGTAAAAAAAACCATAATAATACGGAGTATAGAGCATCACTTTTTTATTAATTTAAAACTTTTAAATTAACAACCGGTTATAGGTATCATTTTGTATCCAAATTTGTATCTCAGCCTATTTGTGTGCTTCACAAAAGTCCATGCTCCACTTTAATGAGTTGCTTTTATGAGCCACAAAAATATGATGGGATACAAATTGGGATACAAATTGAGGTACCTTTATCATTTTTGTTAAATTAAAAGGGATAAAATTTGCAATTTTAATCCCATGACATTGAGAGGTTTTCATTATTAGTTGTGTAACATATAAATTTTTACAATATAAATGCATTAGCTCCGAAAAGTATGTCCCGAAAATGATATAGCAGAAAAGATGTTGTTGATGTCAGCTTTTTGTTATAAAAGTGTTCTTTTCTGTCGTAAAAGTTTTGTAAGGATTTATTAGTTACAAATGCATTCGAATTGTTGAAAATAACTGTGCAGTTAAAAGTGCAGTTATCTTCAAGAATTCATTTGAATGTCTTCCCGATTGAAGTTTTAGCTGAAATTTGGTATGAGTAAACTAGAATCCATGAATAAGATGCTAAAAAAATTCATCAAAAAATTCCACCGGGAACCGCCCCAAATGGCGACGGCCGGACAGAGCGTCCTTTATAATGGCTTATTTGACCTTTTTATGTAAGTTCGAGAGCATATTTGACCTTTTTCCCTATTTCTTTTATTTGACAATTTAATATGTTTATATAAGGGATTTTGCGCATAATTAATTAAAATACAAGGGGGTTTGACACATTTTTAAATCAAAGAGGGTTAATGCGCCGAATTTTCATATCATGAGGGGTTTATGTGCATTAAACCCCAGTTTTACTCCATGTACTAAAGCGCCTAAGGCAGAGAAAATCTATTTCCGAATGACTCATAGTGAAAATCACGTCGAAATTGCAATGATTATACTCGAAAGTACATGACTAAGATTACAAATCTATCATTTGAAAGCGTATAAAAACCTGAGAAGCTCGAGTCGTTTTACTTGAGGTTTGGGGAAAATACCATTGTTCCTTCAAATTCCATCATAATTATCAGTTAAATTGTACAGTTTCAAAAATTAATTAATTATAATTATTCTTTTTTACGTCAAAACATGGCGAATTTTTCCAGCGTAGTGAGACAGTTGTCGCTGGAGGTAGCATTGGGGCAGGGGTGGGTTGTTTTTTTTGACAGAAATCGACTTACATAGATAACCAATAAAAGTTCAGACTATGGGTTAACTGATAAAAAGATAATTGATAAGCGTCATCCCTCGAACCAGACTCGGAATTAATCGTCGTAGCAATATAATTCGCTGATCCATAATCGGGAAATAAAAAGTCTAACACGGTTACCAAATTCCTCTCATCTCCCAAATCTGAAATCAACGTCTTACAAACCAGAACAGGAAACCAAAACAAAAACAAGATTTAATGTAAAAGTAACTGAAACAAAATAAAAGACACCCTTTTCTTTGCCAGACAACAAGAACCAGTCTTAGGGCTGGGACTTTGGAACCAAGAACCGGAGAACCAAACCGGACCGAACCGTTATGACCCGGTTCGGTTCGGTTCCAACATTTATTAGTTATTTGTTAACGGTTCGGTTCCTAATTTTTATTAACGGTTCGGTTCTCGGTTCTTGAAAAAAATATGTACCAGGAACCGTTAAGGAACCGTTATATATAATAATTAAAATTAAATATATTTTTATGAATATATATATTGTAATGTATATTTACTTATTTATTTTTATATTATATTCATTATTTTAGTTTAGTTATTTAACTATTTAAAACTATTATTTATTTCAACCAGTTCTCTTAGGCTTCTTAGGCCTCTCATTAGGTCCAAACTCCAGCTGGTCGGAACTCGGAAGGTCCAGAGTATTTAAAATTATTATTCTCTTTAACTGGTTCATCATATATGTATTGAGATTTCTAACGTTGAATGTCTTTTTGGCAAAAATTTAGTCGTGATTTGTAATAATTTCTTCAAAGACTAGGAACCGTTAAATGACAAGAACCGAACCGTTAAGAACGGTTCGGTTCCTTATCGGTTCTTTAAAATAATTTATAAGAACCGAACCGTTAGTAAAATTTCATATTTTCAAACGGTTCCACATATTTTGCCTAGGAACCGAACCGGTCCCAGGCCTAACCAGTCTTGCACTTTTCAGCCTCACACCTTCAACCAGTGAAATTGGCGGACTTCTTAGGCAAAGCCTGCCTCCTCCCCGTTTTTTGTCCCATCTGTGGCCATGTTGTCTTCCTCGTGCTCTTTCTCAGTCTGAGTCTCCCAAATCTTCCTTCTTTTTGAGAACTCTTCCTTTGTTGCTTCCCCTCCTTATGTAAAGCTTTGAGCCGAATCTTTTTTGTCACTTTCTACTTGTCTGTCAGCCTTCCATCTGAGCCAAATGCCCCTGGGTCGCCCCCTGATCTTCCAGAGCTCGATGAATCCTCTAGGAACCATGTGTGGCCTCCTGTTGGGCTCGTCTTCACCCCGCTACCTGCTCGAAGATAGGATCCAAACCTTTTTTCCAAAATCAACCGTTCTTCATAATTCAGAGGACATAAATTATCTGAGTGTCCAACCAAACCACAAATAAAGCAAAAGGTGGGTAGTCTTTCATATTTAAAATCTACCCAAAAACTTTTACCCTCTTTTTTCAGATTTGTCCCCTTCTTCAGTAGTTTATGCATCTTCATAAGAACCCTAACTCTCATATATGGTTCTATCCTTTCCTTTTTCTGATTATCATCATACTTAACAAATTCTCCTATAAAACTTCCCACACGTCTTGCAGTTCCCAGATTAACAAGACTATAGGGAACATTATGAATCTGAACCCAAAACTCATCCTCATTTAACACAATTTTATGAGGTATATCATCAGGCATAATTTACTTAAGCAAAACCAAACTACGTTCATACTGCCAGGGACCTCCCTCTAGAACACGCTTCATGTCAAAACGATGATTGAAAGAAAAAAGATACCTCTTTTCCCCAATCTCTTTAACCGACATACCTTTTCGTGGCCTCCAAAGCGCAATCACTTGTTCTTTCAGCTCCGAGAACCGGACCTTGCGATCAGTCAACACTTGTCTGATCACAGGGAAGCCCGCTACCGCCTCCTCAGTCGGAACTACTTCAAGCTCTCCATCATCAAGATCTATCTCAGCCTCATCATCCCCAATAGCCATTTGTTTATGTCGATCCACAACACTCTCCATGGACGTGAAACCTTCGCCGGAAAATTGCACCTACTACGACCAAGAACAGAAACCAGCCGACTACTCTCAAACCTAACTCTGCCTGACCGAGCCCCTTGCTTAAAAAGCCGAAACCACCGCCTAAACACCCACTCCGAGAATGTCCTTCGTCCAACCTGCAGACCACCGCCCCTCTAACCAATAGACGTGCACTTCGTAGAACGAAGGCGGACAAACCAAAATTAAGGGTTAGCAGCCGCTAACCCTAGAGAGAGAATAATTGATCCTTGGGGTAGGGGTGGGTTGGATAGTTGGATAGAAATTATAATTAGACAAATTAAAATAAAATATATCAATTAAACAAATTAAAGGGTTTTTTTTGTAAATCAATTAAACAAAGGTTAATAATTTGTTTTTGATAAAATGAAAACAAATCATTTTTGTAAGTATGTAGCCATGTAGGTTTGGTAAAAAACATGTAGGTAATATATTTATATATTTACTAGTATCTTTACCCGTGCCGTGCACGGGATAAAATACACTTTTATATTTTAAATTCTCTTATAAAGCATAAGAAAATATTTGACGGTCTTGGTGTCACTCCATAATATATAATGAGAGTGAATTAGTCAATAAAGATGTTGACATCGCAACTTCATTATTGCAAAAATATTTTATTCTATCAAATTGTTTTCGTTTTTTCCCCATGTAAATTTCTTTTTGTTATTTATAATACTTGTTAAATGGCAACTGGGAGTCTGGGACTTGCCCCATTTATTTTAGTGATTTGGCTTTTGAATTTATAAAAAGTTTTGTGACCTTTAAATTTTAATATTAGTCATGACGACAGTGACAGTAGACTGCATGACAGCAATTGGTGAGTCTCTAAGCAATAGCAACATTAGTTTATTTTTATAAGAGTTATTAATAGTATTATGATTTTATTGGATAAAAAGTGTTATTGAATGAAAGAAGATTGTATGTTTGACTTTAATTGGCTAATATTTATTTTCAACATATATCCATTGGTCAGATGTTCATTAAAAATTTCAAACAACAAATTGAGAATAAAAATAATATCTTGCACTGCTCGTAGTAGATTAGCAGTTACACGTTAACAATCACAAATGTATACTACTATTATATATTATCCAAAGAGAACACACGTCAAATAGTAGCTACTAATCAAGAGTACTTGAATTCTTGTAATTAATTTAGAATTGATTTCCTATTTAACTAAACAAAATGAGTTTATTTGACTTTAAAAGTCAATTTTGCAACTCTATTCAGGATTTGGGGGATGGGAGGAGGGGGATAAGGAATTGAGTTCCGGGCGTGTTAAGACATTTTTACTTGGAACTGTTTTAAGTCTCGACCAAACCAGACATTTTAAAACCAAATTAGATCACAATAGACCAAACCAAACTTAAACTGATCAGTTAAAATCAGAAAATTTTAATCCAATTAAGGATGTCTTTTGGACTGTTTTCCGTCCCAGACCAGACTTCTGTAGTTATAAAATACACACAGACCAGACGTTTACCAGACCAGCCCAGTTAAGACCAAATCAGATCAGACCAGACCAGATCATCAAATTTCAGTCCAAAATAAAACATCCTAAAAACATCCTTATTACTTTTATTAGTGTTATTTTAGGACATTAAAATGAGTTATTTATCAATATAGGACCAAAAGCCGGTCGGTTTGCACAAATAGGACCAAAAAATAAATTATGTTTCATAGGACTAATTATGTGTGTGTTGGACAAATATACCCTTGTAGCAATCGAAATGTTTTAATTCATAATAATAATAAAATAAAAAATCGTAAAAAAATATTAAAAATTAATAAAAAAATGTTTAAAAACATTAATTTAAAAAAATTGAAAAAAATGAAAAAAATGCAAAAAGAAAAATCATCGCCGCCTCTGTCGCCCCAACACCACCACCTCTGGTCACCCGGGGGGATGCCACATGCATTAGGAATATCATATTTATGGCAGATTCAATGTCAATCTCACTTCTGCTTGTATAGTGATAATATAACTCCATAGTAAGCTAATTAACTCCAAATACTCATAAATACTTTGAGGAGATTAATTGAATTTCAATCCAATATATATGGAGTTCTAAATTTTAGGAAGAATTCCATTAAAACGTTTTTAATTGGACTGTTTTTGTTATTTGTCTGTTCTAATCGGAATTGGTCTGATCTGTATGATTAGATCTGGTCATGTTATATTATCCGATCATTTATTTAAATTCTTTTTGCCAAACAGATTTACCCCATCCAACTAACAGTTCATATGCAATGTTTCAAAACTCAACTCTAGACAATAGTCTTGAGTTCATACAATAATCCTTAATTCAATATTAGCATTCACCTACATTTCGTAAGTGCCAAACGCCCAAACATAACCCCAATCTATGAACCCGTTTGGATATTGAGAAAATTTCACATAAATAATGTATAGCACTTTATTTAATTCTAATCAAACATGACAAAAGTTCCATCATTCCTAATTGTATTTTTAAAATTATTGTAAATAAGTATTTATATTGAGACTTTAAAAACTGTTCTACTTGTTTTACATTTGAAATATATGTACCTAAATTTAATTTATAATAGCTTTTTATTACTCATAATATTTCATGTCGTATATGTATTACAAAGAATACGCAAACTACTCCGTACTATTTTCAAAGTCTCAAAATACAATTATAAACTATGAAAATTTTGTCATGTTTGATTAGAAGTCCCAAAAATAAAATTTCATGTTTATTTTAATGTGTTGTAACTTTTTTATTTGTACTCCAATTGTTAAAAAGAATAAATCTAAATTCATGATTTTTTATTATCTTTCATATTACACCAATATTGAATATATAAGAATAAAAAACAATTTAACAATAAAACATCCATTTTCTAAGTTTTGTTGCATTTTATTTTTATATATTCAATATTGGTGTCATATGAAAGATAATAAAAAATTATAAATTATGACATATTTTTTGTAACAATTAGAGTACAAATAAAAAAGTTATAGCACTTTAAAATAAATATGAGATTTTATTTTTTGAATTACTTGACTTTATGAATTAAACGTTAGTACTACATATTACGTAGGATTCAACTTATAATAACTTTGTTCTAAAAATTAGCATACGAATCCAAGTTGAATACATGTAACGAAGTATTTTTAATTAATTAATTAATTAATTAATTAATTAATATACTAATTTAGAAAGAGAATCTAGAATATTATAATGAATCTTTGCTTTAGAAGATGACACATGGCAAAACTTTCCCTAATTGTAACCTTGAATTGTATTATCTATAGATATCATGTAATGGCGCGTTGCCTTTGACCAAGCCGGAAAATCCCGGTTTCATTCCGCAAGCTGTCAGCCTGTAATGCCCAAGAAACCCGTATTCAGACTTCCAAAATCTCGAGATTCCCCGCGGGACGACCGTATGAATAAGATTCTCACGGAAGATCTATCACCGGTTTGTTTTTTCTCGAAATTTATTTACATTATTATTTCCATAACATTTATGGCCTGCACATCCTAATCCAATTTAGTCGAATACATGAACCGAAGTTGTCTTCTAATTTGCGGGAAAACTCATTGCTTTATCATCAAGACCGAGTTTCCTTGCTCAATGGTGAAAAAGTTGCCTTCATTGCGGGTATTTTGACTTGCGATGATGATCCGCGTTTTTTTTCTTTTCTTAAGGATTCGTTGAGGGGAAACACTTATAAAAGGAATGAAAGAACAAACTTGGAAATGGGTTTTAGGTTTAATATATATATTATTAGTTGCATCCATATGGATTGCTGCTAGTTTTGTGGTTCAGTCAGTAGTAGATGCGGGTGTTTCCCCATTTTTAGTAACGTACATTTGTAACTCATTATTTGTGGTGTATATTCCCCTGGTTGAAATTGGACGTTATTTGGAGGATAAGTATGGAAGTGTTTTGTTCTGGAAAAAAAGAAGGGATTGTAGTTCTCAAGAACTGAGAGAATCTGAGGAGGTCATTCTTCTAGGGGATGGTTTTGAAGTTGATGCTCCATGTTCAAGTGTTGTTGCAGATGTTAAAGAGGCCGGTGGAATAATAGTTTCGGGAGAAGATTTGATTGAGAAACACACCGATATTGGCCTGGATGCAAAAGGGCGCTGGACAAGGACTAGAGTTGCAAAAGTTAGCCTTTTGATCTGCCCATTCTGGTTCTTGGCACAGCTCACTTTTAATCTGTCACTCAAGTACACAACAGTTACGGTAAGCGTTTATGTTGTCTAGATTCTTTCCTCTTTACTCTGAAGTATATGTGGATTTAGAGGCGACCCTACAGGCGATGATCCGGGAGGCCCGCCATAAGGGTGTAGAGGGGACAAGCCTTCCCTTCATTATGCTTATCAGTATAATGAGAAAAAATGAAAATAAGTAGAATAACTAGAATCGGTTTGGTGAGAGTGAGACTTATTTGACCGAAATGGATTAATCTCCTACCTTTTATAGGTAACAACCATATCAGCCAAATAAGAAAGCCAAAAGCCACTTATTTTGCCTATTCTTCTTGTTCTTCTGTTGAATCAACTGCATCAGCTGATCAAGTGGCTTATGTCTACCAAACTGAGCCTGAGTATCTTTGATTTTCTCATTTTGCTTGAATGGTTTAAGTATTTAACCAAACCAGAATATTGTCCACTTTTGGTCCCACAACTATTAGGACTCTCACTGTTGGACTACAAATTTGATTGTTCAATTTCTGCTTCTATGACTAGATTCTTAGTGAGTTATGGTCCTTCTGACCACTTATCCCGTCAACTTCTGGTTGATTTTCACCGGAAAGGGTCATAAGTTGTAACAATATGAATGACCAAAAGTGGAAAATAGTTAAAGTCAGGGGGGAAATGAAGCAATTTAGCCCTTTGTCCTAAATAATACCTATTAAACAGGCTCATAGTTATACTCTATTTCTACTTTTGTGCAGTCCAATACCATCCTAAGTACGGCATCCAGCTTGTTTACCTTTCTGGTATCCGTTGTGTTCTTGGGAGAGAATTTCACATGGGTGAAGCTGCTTAGTGTTCTGCTTTGCATGGGTGGAACAATCATTGTAAGCTTGGGTGACTCGAAATCCGGAGCATCTGTTGCCTCTTCAAATGCAGTTCTTGGAGACATACTTTCTCTTCTCTCATCAGCCTTATATGCTGTTTATATAACCCTTATTCGTAAGAAGTTGCCTGATGACGACGATGAAAAAAGTGGCCGTGTTAGTATGGCACAGTTTCTTGGTTATTTAGGTCTATTCAACCTTTTGCTTTTCTTACCAGTGTTTCTTATACTTAACATTGCCAAACTGGAACTATTTACGGCTATCACCTGGAAGCAGCTTGGTCTCATTGCTGGAAAAGGTACATTTACAATTTGCTGGTCTGCTGCAGTTTGATTTGTTTCTTAGTTAACGATATGGTGTACTACGTACATTTCATGAATGTTAAAACTTAATACTCCGTTTGAGTACTTGAAAATAAGTTTCTTTCCGAAATGTTTGTTGGGGAATATATTTCGGAAAGTGTTCTATGTATAATATGCTCCCTTTGTCCCAACATAATTGCCCCATTGCCTTTTGGGACGGAGTTTTATGCAACACATCTTTTATTGAGAATTCCTTTTATACCCTTCTAAAAGTTAGGGAAGAAAGCTGGTTTTTTGTTAATAGAAAATACTTAGTACGTACCTTTGAATGGTCGACCCACAAGAATTACTTTTCTGTAACGATACTAATACCTATTCAAAGAAATTTACTACTAAATTTTCCCATTTATCCAAGCAAAAAAAACTACTTGTCACAATTTTCACAAAGACACAAACAACATCTAATTGTCACGGCGGAACTTATAAGTGCTTACTAGTCGGGCTAATGTTGAATTTAGTAAAATCTAAAGGATAAATAACACATTTGTTAGTAGTTATTTCCATTTTAGGAATAGGACAACATAATCGGAAAAACTGAAAAAGGAATCCGGGACATTATCTTTGGGACAGAGGGAGTAATGCTTAACTCACACAAAATAATAAACTAAGAATAAAATAAAAACTGGTGAAGGAAAATGACTTCCTTTTTTCCCAAGGAAATGTCAAGAATTTAGGAAAATATCATCTTTTCAATCAAACATAGCCCAAGTTTTATACAAAAGGTGTGCTGCACTGCTTTACCTTTAAATGTTTAGTCCAAGAGACATTTTTAAAAAGCCACAACTTTGAAAGAAAAAAGAGGCTATTGCCTCTTATTTGCTGATTTCCCCCAAAATCCATTCACGCTTTCTGTCCATGGCCAAGCTTCTGCTTTTTGAGCAAATAAGGTCCATAAGATGCTTAAACCAACACTAATTCCTCATTAATGAGCATTAATTGCAGCTACATCTGAAAGGATGTATCTAGAGAATAAAAACTACAAGGATCACATAGAGCAGAGGAGTTCACTTTTGCAATGTTGTTAAGCTTTAGGTTTAGTTGCAAATAATCTCTTACTGTCCTTATATGCCAAAGTGCCTCTTTTTTTGAAACCAGATAATGCTGGAGATGAGAGCCCAAAAAAATATTATCATATGTCATCTTGTCATAGTTGAGAGCATTGCTTGTTGATAACCTTAAATTTCATATCCCAGGTGTTATTAATAACCTTATCATTGAAATGAATGCATTCAAATTTTCTTTGGTGATATTCAACCTTGATGCACTCATTTACTGTGTCATTACTTTAGTACCATAATGTAACTTGATAGATCAGCACTCTTCCATCCCATTTTAAGTTTTTGTATGTCTGATTTTGCTTTCCAATGAGAACTCATATACTAATATACTCCAACTGGGTTTGTGCTAAAAACATGCCTTTAGTACTTCCGATCACATGGGGGAAAACCTATGATGAATTGACAATGACAATTTTGAAATTTCAAATGGCATTCCTTCTTTAGAAGGTTGTCACGAGGGGCATTTTAATGACGTTTAAATAATTTTGGAACAGTTAATTGGCACTATAAATTTCATGTCAGTGACCCCCACATAAGTGCGATTGCCGATTAACGAGGTGAAGATGCATCGAATATACTTCTCCTATGTTGTTACTGGATGTATAGCTAGTATGTTTTTCACAGAAAGTCGGTTTTCACATTTATGAATAGCAAATAATTTAGAAAAAAATGTGAAAAATCAGGATACTTATGTCTTTTATGGATGGAAAAGTAGCCAAAAATGAAAAGTGGAGCAACTAATAGTAAACTTCCATAAAAAGAAAGTGGAAGAAGTAAAAGTGAACAGAGAGAATGTATATGTGGTTTGAAATGCTTCATTGTGTGAATATGTAAAAAGATACGGAGTATGTGACTATCATTCCTATCATCCTTTTTGCCAATTATAATTTTTCCTATAATGTGCAAACCTTATGCTTTCCCCAATCTTCTTGGTCTGATGTTAAAGCAACCCTTGTTCAGGATTGCTCGATAATGTGTTGAGTGATTACCTGTGGGCAAAAGCCATCCTTTTGACTACAACTACAGTCGCAACAGCTGGGCTAACAATTCAGGTCCCATTGGCTGCCATTGTGGATTCACTTACAGGAAATTCACCTGCTCTTACGGATTATATTGGAGCAACTGCTGTAATGATGGGTTTTGCCGGCATTAATATACCTTCAAATGCATGTTCTAAAATTGAAGAATCAAATATTGAATTAGAAGGTGGAAATTCTCTGCCCACCCAACAAGATCATGCCACGCCCCTGTAGATGAAGAACTGCATGCTATTTGTTAATAGTGATCTGTTGTTTTGTGTTTTTGAGTGAAATGCCTAACATTTTTTAATGTCATTGTGGACAAGGGATTTGAGGAACACATTTGATTCTCGCTGTTGCCTGTTGGTGTTATGTACAGAAACTATGAAGCACTATGAGCAAATGAAATTTTGTTTCACGGGCGGTAAAAATAAATAGTAGTCGTATAGACATGGTTTCAGGCAAGAACTGGATTAGGTTCATTAGCCTTTTACTCAAAAACACGAGTCCAATTGGTTCAGGTCTGACTCGTTCCAACTTCCAATCATTCTTAAGGTATGACTCAGAGTCCAATCAATAAAATTGCTCTTTCCCGTCTTGTGGTGCAGTGTCTACTTGAGTTCATAAACTTTTTAAAATATAGACACCAAATAAATTATCGGGCACCAGCCGCCAAAAAGTGAGTATAAGAGTTTGTATGTCAAGTGGGGGTGGTCCAAGTGGACCACATCCCACACCTCAGATCCTCCTATGTGGAAAGTTTTGTGTTCAAATCACCAAAGAAATAATTTTGGGAGAATTTTCTCAAATGATCGTATAACTCGGGGCTAGCTTGAGTTGTCGTGCAATCACTCTTTCATCTCACTTCGAATGTCTATGTGAGGGTTAGCTTCTTTTCAGGAAACTAATATTATTTGACCAATCGGTAACAGTTTCCTTTTGAGCTGCGTTGGAACAAGAAATATGTAAAGTCAATCATTTAAGAATGATTTCTTGTGTGCGGGGTGGTATAGATGGGCATTGAGAACCTAATGCATTGTCCAAACGACTCATTTACTTCTTTCAAAGGTTTGTAGAGCGTTTTGGGATCACCTATTTTTACAAGAAAAAAGAAAACAAAGAGTCTAAGAATTTGTAAGGTATTGAAAATCACCTAACCACTTTGGAAGCAAAACGATCTCTAAGTATCAATTGAACCGACCCATATCGGGACCGTGTCCATGCCTACGCATCCCATGGTCCAACACGGCAACACCACGACAAAATGAGTTTGATTCCAACATGAGTACTAAGCCCAAATCATTCTATTCCAAAGTTGTTTTGAACATAGGGGGTGAAAAATGAAAGAACCTAAATTTTGTCTATCTACTCTTAAACTCCTCACAATCTGTATACCAAATACTAGGAGATATGACCCGAAATGGGACTAAAAAGGTTTGAAAATTCCAAAATAAGACTATCATGTTTTTATTTCCAAAATATGACTAATTACTGTCATGTTTTGGCAGTACCAGACTTCAAACATGACAGTATTTTCCAAACTTGACAATAATTACTCCTATTTGGGAATAAAAAACATGTCAGTCCTATTTTGGAATTATCAAACTGTTTTAGTCTTATTTCGGGAACTTTCCCTACTAGTAGGAATCAATAAATGAAAATATACACTCCCTCCTTCACCCGTTTGGGGCTCACATGTGAGGATACTTTACAAATCAAGATATTGGGCTTAACTCAAACAAGCAACCAGCCACTAAAATATGAGTTTTTTTCCCATATAATGCTAAAGAATAAATTATTTACCATATTAGGGTTAAGTTAAAACTTATTACCAAAATACTGCTGGTTAGAAGTGTGGTAAGAGAAAGCCGCCAAACCAAGTGGCGACTTTCTTTAAAACAAATTTGGTGTGCGTATTTGCGTATGTGGGTGAGCAAGGCAGCCAATGGAAAGAGACTTTGGTGGGACCCATTTAAATACAAAAACCTTTTTTTTTCTTTAAATGATTATAACTTTTTTATTTTTGCTCCAATTTTTTCAAAAAACATATCACCGTTCATAATTTTTTGTTACCTTCCATATGACACCAATAATGCATATATATTTTTTTTTAAAAAAAAATTAAAGGTTATATGAAATCCAACTAAAACTTCAAATATTTATATCTCCTAAAATAGTTATGATGCGAAAGTTATGAATTGTGATATACTACCTCCGTTTCGAAAAGGTTTGCCATATTGACTTTTTTTGTCAATAATCATAAACTTTGCACAATGATTTTAATTATTATATATGTATAAAATTTAGAGAAAAGGGGCAAATAAGCCCACATACTAACAACAAAAGGTCAAATAAGCCCTTATTTAGGAGGCTATGTCCGGCCGTCGCCATTTGGGGCGGTTCCCGGTGGCAGTTTTTGATTAATTTTTTTGAGCATCTTATTCATTAAGTCTACTTTATTCATACCAAATTTCAGCTAAAAATTCAATCGGGGAGACATTTAAATGAATTCTTGAAAATAACTGCGCAGTTAAAAGCGCAATTATCTTCAAGAATGCATTTGAATGTCTTCCCGATTGAATTGTTAGCTGAAATTTGGTATGAGTAAACTAGACTTAACGAAAAATATGCTCGAAACATTTCATCAAGAAATTATACCGAGAACCGCTCCAAATGGCGACGGCCGGACAGAGCCTCCTATATAAGGGCGTATTTGACCTTTTTTTGTTAGTATGTGGGCATTTTTTGACCTTTTTCCCTAAAATTTATAAATTTATACTTTTATGAAAATATTTTGGATAAAGAACATTTTGAAATAATTTTCATATTCGAAATAATTTCCTATTAAAAATATCACTGGTCAAAATTGATTGTGATTGACCAAGAAAAGACGATTTGGTGATCATTTTTGGGACGGAGAGAGTATTTTTTTTAATCTAAGCTTGGATCGGTGAGAAAGAAATTTGATTGGAGACATAATTTTGAGTTTTGATATTTCAATTAGACACTATATGGTCTTCGGATTTAAAAAAATTATATATATAATTGGTGTCAAACGAAAGATCATAAAAAGTTAAAAAGTTTAATATATATATTTTGAGCCTAAGTTAGGTGTGATGACGAAAGAAATTTTGATAGAAACAGATTTTTGAATTTTAATATTTCAGTTGGACACCATATGACCTTCAAATTTTAAAAGAAATTAGAGAAAAGGGGCATATAAGCCCACATAGTAACAAAAAAGGTCAAATAAGCCCTTATATAGGAGACTCTATCCGGCCGTCGCCATTTGGGGCGGTTCCCGATTGAATTTTTTGATGAAATTTTTTGAGCATCTTATTCATTAAGTCTAATTTAATCATACCAAATTTTAGCTAAAACTTCAATCGGGAAGACATTCAGATGAGATACAAAATTCATATATAAATGCATAACTTTCGCATCATACCTATTTTAGGAGATATAAAATTTCGAATTCTTAATACTCCGTAACACATCATATGGCCTTCAAATTTTTTATGAAAATTATATACTCCTCCCGTCCCAATATAAAAGGCACATTTGCGTTTGGGGAGTTTTTAAGGGTGAACACTGTTTGAACACTGTTTAGACACTGTTTGGACACTGTTTGGCACTGTTTGGCACTGTTTTGCACTGTTTTGTTTGCCAAAAAGGGAAATGTGCCTTTTATATTGGGACGGACCGAAAAGCAAAGTGTGTCTTTTATATTGGGACGGAGGGAGTATGTATTATTGGTGTCATATGAAAGGCAATAAAAAATTACAAATTTTTATATATTTTTTGTAAAAATTGGATCAAAAATGAAAAAGTTATAATCATATAAAAACTAAAGAGGTTTTTTATTAAAATGGGTCCCACCAAAGTGTCTTCCCATTGGCTACCTTGCTTACCAACATATGCAGTTACGGAGATCGTTTTTGTTTTAAAGAAAGTTGCCACTTCGTTTGGCGGCTTTCTCTAACTATAGTTCAAACCAGCAGTATTTTGATAATAAGTTTTAACTCAACCCTAAATTGGTAAATATTTTATTGTTTAACATTATTTTAGAAACAAACTCCTAAAATATTACTGCAGAATATTAATTGTACACGTTTTTGTAGATATTTCGTACATTTTGTCAATATCACAATCAGTTCATCCAAAAATATAGAGTTTTAGAAATTTTGTGATAATTGTCTGTACGTGATACACTGATTGTATAAAATGTATGAATCGGGTATAATAACGTGTATACCAAAAAAAAATTATAATCTATATTACCATTATTTTTTATTCTTTTTTGTCCAAAAATATATACACAAACACTCCAAAAATGTCAAATTTTATTGCTCTAATAACCAATAAAAGGAGAAAACATTTTCACATGAAAAGGGAAGAAAAAGAGTGCATGTGAGATTATTAAGACAAAAATATTAATTATTTTAGATAGCTAAATAATATATATATATATATTCAAATTATAATTTATTTAAATGCAATGTGCATTTTCTAAAGTCATGATTACAATTTACAACAGCCACCTCTTGTTTCTAAAAGAATTTGAGATTCGCTAATTCAAAGTTTGAACCGACACATCTTATCAAATACGTGTACTCCCTCCGTTCTTTTTTATTAGTTCCCTTAGGGTTTGACACGGAATTTAATAATAATGTAGTAGAGTAAGTATAGAGTGTGTAGGGTAAATGATAAAATAGGAAAAATGATATTTTAAAAAAAGTAAAGTGATGATAAAGTAGGAAAGAATGTGTATTAAGAAGTGTAAAGTGATGGTAAATTAGGAAAGAGAAATAGTTTGTAAAAAGTAAGTGGGGTAAAAGTAATAAAAATGGAGGTATTTTCTCAGAAACTTTCCTTAAAGGGAAAGGAGACAAATAAAAAAATTGTCCCAAAAAGGAAAGAAGGACTAATAAAAAAGAAGGGAGGGGTATAAGGCATTGATTTCTAAAGTATTATGGTTTATTTATAAATAAAAAAGTTAGAACACAATAATATATGGTTAAGATTTTATACATTGTATACTAAGAGCCCGTTTGGCAACCCAGTTTTCAATTTATCAGGTTTATCGACCAACTTTTTCATCAAACACATAATTTTTTATTTCGCGCGCTGAATTGCGTAATGATAAGAAAAAATAAGGTTGAATTTACTTTTCTGACTGTATTGGCTGAAGTTACTGTTGAAGACCATTTTAGCTATTTTTACATATATTTTTTCTTTATTTTATTAATAAAATATATTTAAAAATAATTTTTTAATAAATCAGCAGAATGAGCAAATTCAGCCACTTCAGCCAGAATTTCATAAATTTCAGCAGAAATCAATCGATTCAGCCAATTTTGGTATTACCAAACCGACTCTAAATGTATTTAAAAAGTAAATATGTTGAATGTAGGTTGATTAAAGAGAAAAATAGATTATTTAGGGTAAATACACTATTTTCGTATTAACAATGTGCATATTTAGGGTATGTGCACTGTGCATATTTAGAGTTGCCGACCCTGTTGGATTAAAGTTTGGTCTAACAATTGAATCCCATTTGAGAATGTTAGGTTGAGAGACAAAAATGAAGATAGAATAAGATCTCTCGAGCTTTCCATAACACGCCCTATCAATTCAATAGCGAGAATGTTTTAATCACAATTAGTGAAGCACATTGCCATGATAAGAGACTCGATCATACTCCATTTCACGAGTATTCTGGAGGTGATCGCATATTCACAAACTATGTGTGTGGGTGGAAAATTATCGTCTGCCAAAATATATGATTTACTCCGAACCCAAAGTACTAAGAGGACATGAATGACTTTTATTTGGAAAGCCTACATTCTGGCAAAGTATTCCTTTATTACATGACTTGCATTTAGAAATAGTTTGGCAGATTTTGATAATCTGAAACATTTAGAATTGATTAACATGTGTGTATTGTGTAAGGATGACTCGGAAACGATGTCACACCTATTTTTTCTTTATACTTTTACATGCAAGGTTTGGGGTGGAATCAAGGAATGATTGGGCATCAACCGGAGAGATGAACACTTTGACAAGTGCGGTGAAATGAATGAGGAAGGACTACATAAGAGCCCGAGTTAGATCCCAATCAGTGAGAATGTGAGATCTCCTCTTGCTACACTATACATTGGATTTGGAGAGCACGCACTACAACAAGATTAGATGGACACCCAAGGGGGGCATTATTGCCAGATCAAGCATGTAATCTATAAAATCTTGTATAACATTTATTCTCATGAGCTGATTACTTTTTAATTTTGGTGACAACTTCGGTACCTCCTGAAAAATGGGGTACCATACCTACCGTTCATTTGATTGGACCACATCACTTTATCATTTTTAATTTAGATTTAAATAATTCAACTGCTACATTCTCATTGGTCCATTTGGACAAAGGTATGGTACCTTATGGGTACCATAAAATCTACCTTTAATTTTTGCTATTTTGAGCCTACTTGGCGTCTCCGTTGAGTTAACATTTCCTCTGCATTCTGAGAGGTGATAGGGCATTTTTATCCACATTATACATGTTATTTTTTAGTGTTAATATATATTACATTTCTTCTCTAACATTATTGCACCTGACATCTTGGCCGTATGATAGCAGAGTTCATGGGTTGATGTGAATCATACAAATCATATTAGGGTGAAATAATCATATTATGGTGACATACTCCTGTTATTTCAAGTCCTACCCCAAGAGGTTAATGGGTCAGCCAATGTCATCTTTCACGAGTAAATTGGTATTGCAAAAGAAAATAAACGACAAAAGAGAACTTCAACATTTTTTAAAGAGGGGTAATAGTGTTGAAGTGATTGCCTTCAAATAACATACCCAATCCTGCTTTCGGTAAATCCATCAATTTGAATATCCATCAGCAATATAGTTATAGTTGTGAAATACACACTAAAATAATGATAAGTTTTGGGGAAATTCTTGAAATAGGAGTAAAAAAGTTTTGACTGTTCCAAAATAGGACTGTCATGTTTGTAATCCCAAAATAGGAGTAATTACCGACAAGTTTGGAAAATACCGCCATGTTTAAAGTTTGGTACTACCAAAACATAGCAGTAATTAGTCCTATTTTGGAAAAAAAACACTAGTCCTATTTTGAAATATAGGAACGTTTTTTGTCCTATTTAAAGTAATTTCAATAAATTTTGTATCTTAGCTGGGTGCAGCATTGGTGTGTCCATATTTTTGCATCACTTTTTTAGTTGCCAAAGCCGCAGCCTCACTAGCACGCAGCGTCCCAGTTGCCATAATTGCAGCAAATTCTTTTGCAATCTCATCTTGTATCTTGCTCCTAGCATCTCCAAGTGGATCCACGGCAACACTGGCAGATGCTGCATGAGACACTGCACCTTCTCTCTTAGCATTTTGCACCCCAGAATCAACACCCTGCATTTTTGTGTCTTCGGGTAGAGTCTTTTTGCTTCTAGCGTTTTCTGGCTGAGAAGGGGTGGTGACACTAGCGGCAACTGCTGATGGTTTAAACATGGGTGCTTGTGGAACCGCACCTGCTCTTAATGTGGATTCCATCTGTTGGATCATTGGCACTGCCATTACAAAAGTAGCAGAGTAAGCCGTTAAACAACAAAATTTCCCTTATTACCCCCTCCACTTGAGAAAAAGCAACACAGTGAAACAAATGTTTCTAAATTCAAGTCAGGTTAAGAATTTCACAAAGCATTAACTAATTTCTTCAGTATTCGCCCTAATTCACCCAGCTTACTTACAATTCATAAAGAGACAGTGATTTAGAAAAAGGAGAGAGTTGTTATTTCATTTTCAATTTTGCACTATATGCTTTTTAAATTCGTATTCATGATGAAGTGTAACTGTTCTGCAGAAAGAGCACTAAACTTATGAAGTTGTCAATTTGTCATTAAAAAGGGAGCTCAGCATAGTATATAATAATGTCACCAATCCAAATTCATTTGGACTAAACATCCTCCTTAATAACATGTAGTTCCAAATAAACAGATATGAAGTAAAAATAACTTACACATGAGAGCACCCATCGGGCTGCTCATGACGTCATTGGGAAGGTTTAAGATATATTCTGGAATGGTTGCGCCTACTAAAAACTGAACAACCTCATTGCTGAAATTATTGCAGTTATGGGTCAGCAAACTGTAGGTTTCTGCAGTGTAGCGGGGGCTAATCTCCTGCAAATATGTTTCAAAAACGTCCTTCGGAAGATGCGTCGATCCAAGGTCTACAACTTTCAATGGAGTTCCATATGGTGTACTACCCACAGGAGCTTGTTGGATCCCACCTCCGAAATAATACTCATTACCATAAACAACTACTCCAGTGTGCCTGCAGAGATTGTTTCCATATTGGTCAGTTACACAAGTTGTGGTTAAATATCGAGCTAATTCGTCAGCTATATCTAATTGATTGGCTAAACTCATCCCTAGTTTCTATGTTCCAATGGTAGAAAAATTAATACTCAGCCAGCTTTACCTTCCTACATTTTCTTTTTGAGCCATGCCAAAAAAATCTTTCTTTCCTTTTATATTTTTTTGGAATATTTTTCTAAACCTATTAGTATCTGTTCATGTTAATGCCAACATCCTTCTATCTTATAAGTAACAAAAGTAGGCGGTCATATCCTTCCATTACATCCCACATAGATCTCAACTACTCTATTTTTACTTTCTACAACTTTGAGCCTAGACAAATCCAGGGAAGTAGAAAGGGACAGAGGAGGTACCAGTTAGATGTTCAAGGTATGCACTTAAAATGGAGAACTCACCATATGCCTTCGATTGTTTTTCCTAAGAATGCAGCAGACATCTGGCGAGCTAGTCCTTGGCTTAAGTCATATACATTTAATAGGACCTTTTGTCCTTCCTGTTGCAATCCAAGATTTAGATTCTTTCCATATTTAAAAGATCCAAAAATAGTAAATCCATCCAAACTAGATCTTCGTATTTTGTACCTCTGCCATCTTAATCGCTTCAATAGATCTTCGTATTTCAGGAGTGTGAAAAATACTGCAAGTTGACTGATAGGGCTGTCAGAAGCACAATCCAAATGACATCATGAACAAAATACCTTTGAATTGTGAACAGGTAAAGATATTAGAGAAGATACTATTAAGTTTTGACCCACACAGAAACAAGACAAGGACTGGATGACTGATCAACCAAAGAGTACATTAACACAGTATGCAATGGCCCGTTTGATTTTAAATTGTATGCTCAAAGCAAGAGATATTCATTCATCATTGAGATGAATATATATGGATTCATGTATTGTTGCACAAAGAGGAAGTAGTCCAGCCCAGTTGGTCGCCGACTCACTCTCCCTTACGGGAGGTCTCGGGTTCGAAACTCAATGGAGTGAGTATCAGCCTAGATTACTCCAGGCTCCCCCCAGCCCCCTCCCCTGGAAGCCCCGTGGAGTAAAAAAAATGTATTGTTGCACAACAAATTGGATATATCTAAGGCCCGTGTATAGTCAGTAACAGTGCAGAGCTTATTTGGAGTAAAATTTGACTAAACAATGGCTGAATGTCTTGCATTAAATTATGTAGTATATTGTAATCCAAATGTCTAAATAAATCCACAGTTATATTTACAAGGGACTAAACCTCTCTGGCCTAAGGCTTCTAGCTTCAGAATCATGGTAGCTGGATTGAGTCTTTAGCTACATAATTTCTCATTTGTACCCTTTATTGATAATCTGGTTTGAGAAGTACCCTCTCTTATTTTCACTACTTGGATTTTCTTTGAAGATGCAGTGATATTTATGAAGCATATAATCCTATGCATATTATGTTTCACAATTACTTCTTCCATTTGTGGGGGAATACATAAAAGGATTTAAAGGAGACTAATGTTTTCATTAAAAAAGTGTAATTCTTCTTTCCTAAAAATATCACCAGACTAGTTCAATTACTCTTACCATGGCATTAACAACTCTTGGGCATTTTATAACAATAAATAACATCATACCAGTTCTTTTAAAGATAATATTTAGAAAATATCAGAAAAGAAATCTATGAACCAGTAATAATCACCATATATCATTGTCATATATTCCAAGAAGAACTAGGAGAGAAACATGAGTTTGCAAAGAATTAAAGAAGAGATGAAGATAGAGCGCAGCTTACCTTTAGATGAATATGGAGCAGCCAAGCAAGAAGTCTTCGATCTGGAAGTCTTCAAAACTATGAGGCACCCAAGAAGATGAATATGTCAGGTATAAATAGAAGGGTAAAGGGTCTTTTTGTTTTTTCGGCTGATTATAAAATTCTGCCAAAACAGCCCGTTCAGTAGTTATTTGGCGATTTTTTTATACTTTCAGGCTTATCAGCCCATTTTGGGTGCTCCAGAGTCCAGACGGCCTCTTAAAATGGAATTTCAAATACGATACCATAAAAACATCCAAAACAGTCTTAAATGATTAAATGAATGTGTATGTGACATGTTGCTTCATTGCAATAATTTCAACTTCAAAAGGACGGTGTTTTCTCTTTTTTATTACTAGCCAGTTAAACAAACATAGTTAATAAAATATCTGAAATAAGTGCATTGTTTGGTAGAAAATATGACAATTTGACTGATATCCTCACATAGTAGACAATGAATAAAACAGTCAAATACTACAATGTTAAACCAAGAACACCTTATGTGCAATTTCAAATTTTCAATCCCTACTGCACGGAGAAGAAAGTACATGAATTGTCGTCTCATATAAGAGTTAAATTTGCACACTTGGCCCAAGGATGAGTAAAACCTAAACTCTGACTATCCAAGCAATTGAACGAAGTCAAAGAACAACAAAAAACAGCAGATGTAGTTCAAATCGATGTTATTAAAAGGAACAAGACTTGATGATAATAAGCTCTTTGTGGGGTGTTTTAGCCCAACAAGTCCCGTATTTTCTCAAGCAAATATTGTGGAGTTGTCAAGAACTGTGCATATTGGATCTTGCACATTCCATTCAAGAATGCTGAAACCCTTACCAACTACAGCAACTCCACAAGAATAAAAAGAAATGAAAATAAGTTCAATTTTTTCGAAATGGCATGTGAATAATCAAATAGAACCCACTTCATGATATGACTTCAGGATGGTTTCTCCAATCTCAAGACCTCTGCTCCAGAGCCCAGACTAGAATCATATGGCTAAAAATAACATAACTACTAAGTACTAAACCTATTGATAGAGATTCTCCATCTTGAACTATATAACTAATATACCCATCATTTATTCCGAAATTCTCACCATTCTCCCCAATCAACACATCCCACAATATCGACACCACAAATAATAAATAATTTAAATTTTCTGTATCCTACTGGTTACAACACACACACATACTTCAAAATATACAGCGGAGCAAATTGGACGCTTTTGAAAGAATGTAAACACTCAAATTTAAGATACGGGCGGTTTACTTCTACACATGTGAAAACCGATCTGACATAACAGCATCCAGATACATCCAACAATAAGAGAGTATATACGGCCTAAAACTAGCAGATAAAATTTCCCATTGCTATCAAACCCTATCAGTAATTGCGGAAACTGCATCAGAAATTGTAATGTTTCAGCTTACCTGAAGATATTATTTGCCTTTGACTTTAATCAAAAGATCCTGTAAATCCACCGGAAGCAATATTTTATGAGACCTTTTTATATGTAGCCGGGAATGAATTCTGTAAGATCGTCTAGAAAGTTCGACTGGACTTGTGAATTCTGGATCGTGCCAGCCAAGTTTTGGACACGTCTTTGACAATTATGTTTCTTACATTCTATTCTATCTCTTTTTAAAACTTACTAAAACTTACTTCCTCCTTAACTTAAAAATCTTCTCATTTTTCTTTTTCGTCCGTAACAAAAAAATCTTCTTATTTCCTAATCTTCTATTCATATCCTCAATAATTCTTAAAATAATACACTATTACAACTACTTTTTTTGGGATTTATCATACATTCCATCACATTATTCCACTATTTTCCCATCATACCCTCAGTAAGTCATATCATTTTTCACTATTCTTAATCTAACTACTTTTGAAATGGGAAGATTTTAAAGTTACGGAGAGAATAATACTAGTAACGTTTTTATATTAAAAAAACTACTCCGTAATTCATAACCTTTTTATATTCAAAAAAATCTTTTTCAATTGGTTTTCATTTCTTACAAAATATATACTCCCTCCGGTTCTAAATAAACTTCACACTTTCCTTTTTGGGACGGTCCAAAATAAACTTCACACTTCTAAATTAGGAAACTTTTTATATGAAATACCCTTTATATCCCTACCCCGTTTACCCATTTGTGTGGCCCACACCCCTGCCACTTTATTTTCCGCCCCATTATCTCTCTCGAACCTTCTCTCTTTAATCATCTCTCTGTCTTCAACCTCCTCCACCGCCTCCAACCTCGTAACCTCCATCTCCACCCCTCCTTCTCCTCACTTCCATCGCCACCCCTCCTTCTCCTCACTTCCATCGCCACCCCTCCTTCTCCTCACTTCCATCGCCACCCCTTCCTTCTCCTCACTTTAATGGATACCAAAGCATCACCTCTGAAAACCCTAAGGCGACCTAGCTTCCCAAACCCACACACGTTGCCGAGATCGGACCCTCAAAATCCGAGATTAAGTCGTGTGTAAATCCAGAAGATGAGATGGTGAAGAAGTGAACTCGGGAACGGCGCTAGATGATGGGGGAAGAGAGCAGCGGCGGCGGGGAAGACGACAACGGAGGCGGGGAAGAAGACGCTGGCATCCAACGCATTCCTTAAGGACAGTAATCTCTAATCCCTTAATATTTGTATCTTTCATGCTTGAGCAGTGTTGTGTTGGGCCATTGCATGATGATTGAACGGTTTGGCTTGTTGTGTAACTAATGATGATTTAATGGTTGTGATTGAACTGTGATGGGTGTTTGTATGTCTGGGAATGCTATTAAGCTGGGTATAGTTCTGCTTGCCTAGGATTTGTAACCTGTGTTCATGCTTATGTGTGTTTGCCTATGCTAAAATACCCATGATGAAACTGTGATGACTATGTATTGAAAATGTGGTATGTAGCTTGGGATGTGTAACCTCTGAGCATGAATATATGTGTTTGCCTGTGGTAAGTGACCTGTGATGAATCTGGGAGGATTCTGAGGTATCTTTGCTATGTTAAAGGAACTGTGATGGGTGTTTGTGTGACTGGGAATGCTATTAAGGCTGGGTATAGTTCTGTTTGCCTAGGATTTGTAGCCTGTGTTCATGCTTATGTGTGTTTGCCTATGCTAAAATACCCCTGATGAAACTGTGATGACTATGTATTGAAAATGAGGTATGTAGCTTGGGATGTGTAACCTCTGAGCATGAATATCTGTGTTTGCATGTGGTAAGTGACCTGTGATGAATCTGGGAGGATTCTGAGGTATCTTTGCTATGCTAAAGGAACTGTGATGGGTGTTTGTGTGACTGGGAATGCTATTAAGGCTGGGTATAGTTCTGCTTACCTAGGATTTGTAGCCTGTGTTCATGCTTATGTGTGTTTGCCTATGCTAAAATACCCATGATGAAACTGTGATGACTATGTATTGAAAATGAGGTATGTAGCTTGGGATGTGTAACCTCTGAGCATGAATATCTGTGTTTGCATGAATATCTGTGTTTGTCTGTGGTAAGTGACCTGTGATGAATCTGGGAGGATTGTGAGGTATCTTTGCTATGCTAAAGGAACTGTGATGGGTGTTTGTGTGTCTGAGCATGAATATGTGTGTTTGCCTGTGCTAAAATACCCATGATGAAACTGTGATGACTATGCTAATACCAGTGGGATGCCTATGCATGTCAGAATTGTGACCATGATTAAAATATGTTTCCATTGCTTCTTTGTAAACCAAAATATTGTACACTAGTAGTGGGGGTACATTAAAAACTTGTACTGCCATGCCTTTCAGTATACATACAAAAATAGTACACCCCAATTAGTTGTAAGCTTAGTGTACTTACACAAAAAGGTTCAAAAACAATACCAAGTAAGGTATTTACTTCATACTTGAAGATGTTCTTCATCTTCATGTATGAACTGAGACCCTTTAATTGTATGTGTACAGTTTGTTGCCATTTGTCCATCCATGAATGCTTTAGCTGTTTTGTCACGCCCCGGACCTACCGGACACGTCAACAACCCGCCGTACAGTACGAATAGTCAACCGCAGTCCAACTCATCCATACTATACTAGGCGTCTTGAATACCATTCACACATAGTACATCCATAAACAATCATAACGTAAAATATTTAGTTAAGCAGCGGAAACATAATTACAAATATTCAAGCCACACGTGGCAACCACGGGCATACAAGCCCCCAAATAAATATTCGAAATAATATCCATGAGCATTATTTAAATTGTTTTCAAAACAGAAACAGGAGAAGTACGAACCCCGCCTTCCTCCTTGAATTCCCCGAAGCAACGAGCGGTAGTAGCAAGCTCTACTCCCTACCTGAAACTGTGAGGTGGCCTCCCCCGTGAAGGGGAGGTCAGTACTTGGAAGCATTTGACAAGTACAATGACAACTATACTAAGTATAATCAAAGTTTCAATTTCCAAGACCCTCAATCCAAGATATTATTCATTTGTACTTAACTTATGTTCCTTCATGCTAGAGCTCGGCTCATAGTCATGCTAAATTGTGCTAGAGCTCGGCTCATAGTCACACTACATTTGCTAGAGCTCGGCTCATAGTCATACTAAAATTGTGCTAGAGCTCGGCTCATAGTCACCCTACGTTTGCTAGAGCTCGGCTCATAGTCATACTAATTTGTGCTAGAGCTCGGCTCATAGTCACCCTACGTTTGCTAGAGCTCGGCTCATAGTCATACTACCACGTGCTAGAGCTCGGCTCATAGTCACGTCAACTAATCCCTAAACCACTTCTTAGTCTAGGTTCCATCCATTTTGAGTAACCCTTAAGGCCTACTCCAATGTAACTTAAGTTCATAATAATTTGAATATCTCAATTAAATTCCACATTCAAGTATAGCTTGGCTCTAATATCAAAATATCACTTTTATCCTTCCATGACTTCCTTACATGAGGTAAAAGTATATTTATCACAATTTAGTTTATAGTTTACACAACTATTATACCATTGTATTCATAACACATAATCATACACAATTTATTCATAAATTTGCATATTATGCATTTTTGCTTATAAACAATAAAAATCTCATCTAGGCATTTTATTATTATAAATACATCATGCCAAACACATATAATTCATTTAGGTAATCTTATGAAATTAAACCCAATAATTATAAGCAATATAGTCGGTCATCCTCACCTTAAGTGAGCTTAAGCGCGTTTTACGTTCCCCGATTTGAACTTTGACTAATTCCGGCAAGCTTTGACCAACTCCGGCGTACTTTGACCAACTCCGGCGAAACTCCGGCGAGGTTCAAAAATGCTTAAGTCAAGTCCCTAACAAGGTTTTAACATCATAAAACCTTAATCAATACAAATAACCTCTAAAGGTTATTTTCCGGTAAACCGGTCGTTTTGACTTCTAAATCCGTTCTTGGACCTAGAACCACTTTCCAACCCATCATTCTACACTTAATCATGTAGAACCATTCTCAAGGGTCTTCATATGATATATATCTCATATGATAGAAGAAAGATAAAGGAAAAGTTAATATAAGGTCTTTACCTTAACCCTTCTCACTTTCTCCTCACTTTTTCCTTCTCAAAGACCTCCTTTTGGACTCCTTAAGCTTGAGCTCTCTTCAAAGATGGAGAATGGAGGATGGAAAATTACTCTTGCCTCTTTCTTGGGTGCTGGCCGAGATGGGGGGTGAGGGAGAGAGGGGTGAGATTTTCTTTTTGGCTTTCTTGCCAAATGAGTGAGGATGGGGTCCTTAGGATGTCAAAATGGTCTCCCCCATCATCTCAAGGTTTTCAGACCTTGTTTGAGACAAATCAGCCTCCATTTTGTGGCCAAAATCGTGGGTTGGCCCCCACTCATGTGGGAGGTCAACCCCTTTTGTCCCGAAGTGTACAATCGGTCCCGAAAGTTGTATTTTTCGGACAGTTTTTGTTATATTTTATTTTATCGGGTCAAATAAAATATTTTACATGCTCTTTAACCAACATGAACCTTATAATGAATATTCATTCCCCAACTTTAATTTATAAGTCCCCGAAATTCAATTTCGGACATTTATCGGTAAAATCGTCAATACCGGTATTTGGGCCTCTCTTGACCAATCGGTCAACTCTGGACCTTTCCATGGTTCAAATGAATTATCCACCACCATATAATTATTATCTAGACTAAGATGAATAATTTATGTGGTCCCGGGAATATCGGGCGGCCCCCGCTTCCGGGCGGGCCTCACGTGCGAATTTACTATTCGTGCGAAAGAATTAATAAAAATTCGTAACATCATAATTTCTTTAACCATTCCATAAGGTTAAAATATAATATTCACATAAAAGTAAATACATTTGGGGACGGTGTTACAAGTTCACCCCCCCTTATTTGGGATTTCGTCCCCGAAATCCACGTGTCTAGTCGAAAAGAAAAGGGTATTGCTCCCTCATCGAGACCTCGGTCTCCCATGTTTCTTCCTCGACCCGATCACTCCTCCAAAGGACTTTCACCATAGGAATCTCCTTGTTTCTCAATTTCTTCACTTGTTGTCCCACAATCTTCACCGGTTCCACCGCATATTGTAGGTCTTCGCGTATCTCTACCGGTGGCCTCTCAAGGATATGAGACGGGTCTCTCACGTATTTCTTGAGCATC